ATGCTGTGGTCATCTCCATATACTTAATAGAGATGCAGTCATAGCATAGCAGAAGTCGTGGGATAAATGAAAACAGCTTGCATTTATTGAGAGCTTACGTTCTAGGCACCAGGCTGAGGCTTTTATGTCTATTATTTAGTTTACCCCTCACTGCCCAAAATGGATGGCCATTTCTGTTTCTTTTGTAAGTTCCTACCAGAAGTTGAAACAAACCATGAAGAACACTAGGAACAGAGTTTACCCACAAGGAAAGCCAAGTGAATCTTTAAGAAGTACATAGCTTTTAGTTCCATCTTTACTATTTGGCATATTTTTACACAAAAATACTACTGCTTGCCCTATTTTATTTTTAAAATGAAATATTTAGACATACAATGTTTTTAGCTCTTTTAATTGGAGTTTGGATGACCAGCTTGTAAGTTTAATCAAGGGGGAACAAAAGCTTTATTAACCTGTTTTCTCACTCCCTTTACTTGCATTGTGTGCTTGTTTACTGTGTTCATATGCTCTGAAATGGAGGGTGGTCCATCTCCTCATTACTGATCCTCTGCTTGATGACACAAAACAAAACATACGAACAAAGGAAAAAAGCCTTGCTGTCACTTTTCTGCTTCCCCTGCTGCTGCTCAGCTGGGATGTTTAAAGATTGGGGTTTAATGAAAGAAGGTGAGAAGGTGAAGAAAAAAAAAAAAGAACTCTAATGAGCATGTGTTTAGTTGCATGGAAAGACCACTGAGAAGTGGGGATAATTTTCTCCCTACCTAATACAACACAGTATATCCCCTAAGGTCAAAGAAGCTGTTCTGCCTTCCTCACTCATTCCTTCATTTCCTACCCTGGCGACCATCTTCTCCACTTGGAGTTGGCTCATCTCTGATGGTGAGGTGAAAAAGAATCTCCTGTCTCACTACCCACTTGTGGTTCTTGGGAAGCACAGGGAGTGGTACAGAGGTTCTTTAGGTGGCCTGTGTCACTGGTAGAGCACCCCATGAGTTGGCATTGTGGCTGACTGCCCTGGCTGGCCAGTCTGCAGGCATGCTGACACGTCCCTTTATATGGTGAGTGAAGAAGCCAATTCCCATTGCACATACTGCAAAACAAAATGCTTTAGTGCTTCAAAGGAGAGCCAATAACAGCTGTTGAAACTCTAAAGCAATGCTCCGAATTAGAATGAAATCATGTACTCATAATATCATTTTGGAAAATGTCTTTAATCAGCAAGTGTTCCAGGCCTGTGGTGTGAGTATCACACTGAAAATGTCAAATCAAACACAAGGGCCAAACCTTGGCCAGAGTTTCCAGATTCTAAAACAGAGTGATGGTTTTGTTTTGTCAGTTCCCAGATGAGGGTATCATTACACACCCCTTTGGGGAGTGGGAGGGAGGCATGAAAAACCATGACTAGTAAAACAAGAAACTTTGAAAAACGGCTCCTTTCAGATCAACAGCTATCTCATAGAGGCAGACACACCTCTCCAGCGTTCTGCGTCCAGTATTACTATGAGCAAATCGGCTGCTGTGAATTGAGACATTTCTTTGAAGTTGAAATATGCAGCCTTAACCGTGCTCTCATCTTCTACGTTTCACTGAGTGAATAACCTAAATTACACAGAACGACAGTAAATTGGCTCATCATAGCCCTGTTCTAATTTTAAAAGGATAAAGATCTAAAAAACCAGAGAGCCTAGCACTGAAGGAACTAGTGAAGCCAGTTAAGGAGCTGCCAGGATCTTTCCTCAGAAGGTCATGGATGCTAATTCAACCTAGGTTTGTAGTGATCAGGGACCATTCAAACATCTTGTGTTCAATGTATGTGCCCTCAATAGAACGTTCTTATAGGGATACTGATAGTTTACCTTTATCATTCTTGCTGAACAGAAATACAGTAGGTGGCCAGCCACATGCAGGATGTAAATCATTTCTTCCCATGTAGAGGTGATCTTTGCAATGTGAAATCCAAGGTTTCAAAGAGCATCTTTCCTTCATGCTGTCTGCTGCCAGCCTCTCTTCCAGCTCCCTGAGCTCTGAGAGAAAAGAACAGCAGCTTTGTGACTGTCAGTCTCACACCCTGAGCCTAGGACAGATGAAATTTGAGAACATGTGGGGCCAGCAGTACAGCATTTTCCAAACAACATAACTTTCTATTTCAACAAAGCATTCACTTGTGGCGATAAAATGACAGGTCATAGTCAAATTTTGACTCCATTACTGAGCCTTATCCTTGAGCTTTAAATGGAAAATCAGTACAATTCACCAGCTGTCCGGCTCCAGATCTCCACTCCTCACCACCACCACCACTCCCCAAACAACAACAGAATAACAAGCTCAACTGCTAGAGTTGCTGAAGTCATTTCTTGATTAGATTCTTAATGACTAACTCAGTCCACAGGTCACTTTCAGCTAGTCAATCAACAAATAATTTCAGACATTCTAAGTTTCTTTTTGGAATTTTATAGGACTTAGTGGGGGAAAAACCCATTAAACAAAAGAGATTTGGGATGATTTAGAGACACACATAAGCTATCAGTGTTCCTCTGAGGAACAATAATTACATTGTTCCTCTTTCTGAAAAGGAAAAAGTTGGTGTTGGTTGAATTGAGATACAGCATTTCAGTGGCATACTTTTCACAGATTGTAAATAGTTCCCCCCTTCAGATTTGATATTAACCAGCAAGAGGGTAGATCAACATGTAGGAGAATGTCCTAGAAGTGTCATGACCAGGGTGTGTCAGGATTTTGTTCTGAGTGTTGATAAATGGCTGTGCCACCCCCAAGTGCAGGCACAGCGGGTTAAGGGGAGATGACAGCAACCTGGGAAATCCTGTTGTCTGAAAGCACAGAGGAGGCTACCTCCCCTGCATGTTCTGTGACTGAAAGAAGTCTCCCTCCATCACACCCACAGCAAGAGCTACCTAGCTCTTTTCTTTAATTACCAGCCATCATTTGAACCCAGATTGCCAGGGGGTGCAGGGCCTTGACAGTTAATTCTTGTCACAAGCCCCGGAGGTCACAGGGAGGGCAAAATTTTGCAAATGTTTCCTTGTAACAGGGATTTGAGATGAGGGTAAATATCTAACAACCATGACTCCAGAAAGAGAAAGGCAAACGATATTGAAGACCCCTTTCCCTGCCTTTAGGTCTCCAAGAAGAGGTGTCTTTGTGTTGGAGACTGGTTATAGATGGGCTATAGGTGAGTAAAGCTTCCACTTAGGCAGCAGGTTTAAAGACCAGCTGCAACGTTCTCCAGTCACTTCACCTATGGATGGCTGTCAGACCCTTGTAACCTTTCCATCTGGTAGAACTTGATTGTTTCAGCGGTGGATGCCATCTCAAATGGCCATTTCCTAAAACCTAAAGCCATCAAAGGGGGTTTTCACAGACTCAACTAGCGCTCTGCAGGAAGCCTTTCTAAGGCTTGGCCTGACATTGCCAGAGCAGATTTCAGCCCTTTCTACTCCAGGGCCTTGAATTCCCTATTCTGCAGCTTCCCTGTCCACCAACGTCCCTTCTTTCCTTCACAACCACCCCCACCCCCACGCCCCATCCGATTCCGATTCTTGTCATGTGGTCTAAGATATGAGCCCAGACACATTCTCATTACTGTTGGGCTCTGGGCTGGGGCAGGAGGACAGTGTGATGCTGTCTGGGCTAGACTTTGTCGAATCCCAGCAAGGTGTCTCGAGATGAATGCCTAAGGCAGCCACCACGAGGCCCGGGGAACCGAACGTGGTGCCCACGGCGAGGTCCCTGGGGGCGACGTGACGTGGCTCCATCAGGTGGAAACTGTGTGGTCCTGCCCGACTCGACCCAAAGCACGAGAGATAAAGATGTCTGCATAAGCAGGACCGCCGCCGCCACCACCCGGCCGGGGCCCGGGGAGGGGGAGGAGAAGCGCCTTCTCGGCTGAAGCCGCGGCTGGGGCTTGTTTGTAGGTTCGCAATTCACCATGATAAATGTAAAGACCAATTAAGGTTTGATCCGTGCACACGGGAGGCAGACGGCGGCTGATAGTGGAACCAATTAACGAGCATGTCCCCTAATTCCTGCCGCGGTCGCCCGGCGCACCGCGGATCCCCAGGCGCCTATAGCGGCCCCTGAGCCCCCCACTCGGCCCTGGAGGGGGGCGTCCTCCTCTAGCGAGAAGGTGCGAGGAGCGGGGCCCCCGGGTGGCTGGGGAGGGGGTGCGCCGGGCAGGGAGGCGCGGTGCCAGCCGCCTACGGTGCCCAACTGTTTGCAGCCGGGTATCGGCGGGAGGGGCGCACCCGAGTGGTCGCGCCCGGCGAGGGTGGCGGGGGCCGGAGCAGCGCCCAGCGTAGAGCTGGGTGGCGCCCCGAGGGCGGAGGACAGGTGGCCGCGCGCAGCCAGGTAGCAAACGGCTTGGGGGCTGCGCGCGCGGCGCGATCTCCAGGCTTCGCTGCCCCCACCCCGGGCCCGGCTCGCTGCTGGCCACTGCGGGAACGGCCTAGGGTAGAAGGCGACCAAGGCCGCCCCGCGGGGCCCCGCGTGCCTCGGCTTCTCCCTCCCGCTCCCCTTCCCCTTCCGGCTCAGTCGCCTGTCCCAGACGTGACCTCCGCGCAAGGTGTTGGCGCTGCGCGTGGCGAGCCGCAGCGCGCGAGATTAATGGCCCCGAGGTCGGGGGTGGCGAAGGCGTGATCCTCTGTTTGGCCTGGCCAGGGTGTGAGGGTATCCGGGAGGAGAGCGGGGTCATGGCCATAGGGTCCCCCGGGAGCGTGGAGGTGGCGAAGGAAGACCAGGAGGAGGAGGAAGAGGAGTAGTAGGTGATGCGTAAGGGAGAGGCTAGTGCCCTCTGGCCTCGGGGCCAGCGCCACCGCTGGTCCCAGCGCCAGGAAAGTTTGGAGCCGCGGGCGCCACGCGCCGGTCCCTCCCGGTGCAGTTCCCTCGGCGGAGTCTGTGCCGCCGCTGCTGCCAGGGCAGGACAAAGGCTCATTAACACGTGATGGGACCGCGCTTCATAAATGGGACTGGAGCGAGAGGGAGCCAGAGACAGAGCGCGAGCGGAGGGAGAGGCAGGGACCGCGCCAGCAGGGCGAGGCGACAGGCGCTCAGGCTGGCGGAGACGGGCGGCCCCACGCCGGGCCAGGCGGGGCGAGCGGGAGGACCCAGTGAAGAGCCCGGGAGAGGGGCGAGGCTCCCTGGCGGCCACAGCCGAGGGGGCGGCCAGTCCCTGTCGCTGTCGCGGGCGGGTGCTGGAGGCAGGGGAAGCCGGCGCGCGGACCGACTGACTTACTGACTGACCGCCGGAGGCACACCCCGCTCCGCCCCGGTCCACCTCGCACGTCCCAGCCTGGGCGCCGCCTCCCCCGTAATCCCCCTGCCACCCGATCCTTCTCCACTTCTTTAACGCCTCCGCCTCTCCCGGGCTCCCGCGGCGCGGGTGCCTTCCCCTGGCCCAGGCGGGGCGCCTCGGCTCCCCGCGGAGCTCTCCCTAGAGTCAGGGGGGACATTACGTGCTAGAGGAGAGACAGCCCCTGAGCTGGGCCAGAGGTGCCCAGGGAGCTTCTGCCCCGAGGACCGGGGGATGCGAAGGGTAAGACCTGACAGTTGCGTTTGGAAATACTTTTTCCACCTTCCGCCCCCCGGGTGCTGACCAACGTGGTCCCCAAGTGTCCTTCGTGGAGTTCTTGTTCCGGGAGAGCGGGTCATGCTTCGCTGTTTACTTAGCTGGATAGCTCCAGCCTGTTAACTGTTGTCTGTGCTACTTGTGGAGGTTTCTACCATTTACTATTTATTGAATGTGTGTGCACCTGGCTCTCTGTATGCACTGACGTCTGTTTGTAGAAAATGTGTAATTGTGCATGTTTGAAAAACAGGCTCTTGAGTTGATGCTTGATGTTTATAAACCGTATCAGCAACTAAGTCTTCCCAGAGAAATACATCAATCTGCGTCAGACCTAGAAACCGAGTAAAGTAAAATGTTCAATATCATGTAAAGAAATGGATGTCAAATAATAAACTTTTGATATAGAAAAAGATAGTTCCAGAAGCCACTTCTCTGAGGAAAAACAAATGTGCATAGTGTTTAATGCCTATATTTGAATGTGATAGAACCGTGTAACTCAGAGCTAGCTATTAGATGAATAAAGTTGAGGTTGCATTTTTAAAAGACATTTCTTGGTAAGGTTCACAGATCACAAATGGATGCCCTCCTGGGATGCAAATGTTTGCTGTGATAGACGTGAAAATCTGTCGTTTGGTCGTTTGAAAGTTTAAAAGCAACATGCATGTTTCTGATCTTAATAGATCATGTATCTTTCAAAGGTTTTAAATTGAACAGATGACTAAAAAATTTAGTAACCTATTAATCATTTTGCTTCCCATCTTTTTTATTTTCTTCTAAATTGCCTTTGTTTATTTCTTGGTATATTAAGCCACCTTGGGCATTTGATCCAATAAGAGATTAGAGCAGATTTACTGGTTCTAAAGGTGTTGAAAGATATCTCTATGGGTCCCATAACTTCTCCTCATTTTTTATTACCAAGTTAATATCTTTTGAACAATAGGGGAAATGCAGTTTCTTAGAGAACTCAGTGGACATTTAGCATCAGTAGGGTTACTACTGACATCAATCTATTTACAGAATATTGAGAAGCTCAAAGCAACCAACCTTTAAGGTTCCCACAGGACTTTATCTGATTTAAAGTGTTGCTTTTCTAATCCCACCCTCCTGACAGTTTGCAAGGGAAGATATCCTGATTGATTTTTCTCTGTCCCTTTTTTTCCTCTGGTACTCCTCCCCCCCTCCCTCTGCTTTCTAACTCAGTTAAGAGTAATTTTATCAAAATAAAAGGCCATGAATACTTTCTTAAATGTGAGAAATAATTTTGATTCTATCCGTACATGAGCACGCACCTCCAGAATGCAAAACAGTGCATACTGCAGGCGGTTATTTGCAGACATCGGAGTTGGACAAGAGGCTTGATGTTGATATGGTTTTTTAAAACTAATGCATTTTAGGTTATCAAGAGAACTTACTGTAAACGGACTCTTTTTGTTTCAAAGATGTCTCCCACTCCAAGCGAGGAGCTCTCTTGGCTGAGGTATGTATCAAATGTCCGATGGGGAGAGGTCTCATTGTGTTTCTTAGCCTCAATGGTGGGTAAAATAATGCCACTGGCTGGAAATGCTCACTTCTGACCTTTCAAAAATAAAATTACTATGCTTGCATATTCATTGTTAGGAATACAAATTAGACATTCATACTCCTGAATTTTAAAAGCATCAGGATATGTGTATATAAGTGAATGCTGTAACTAGAACCTTAAATAAGCCATAGCTGATGTTATTTAATTTAGTGTGTAAAGTTTGAAATTCTGGTGAAAATCAGATCTTATGTTGGAGTAGTGCTTGGCTTTGTTTGTTATCCACTGTTTTCTTTTTCTGTTACCCTTCTCCCTGTGGACTATGTTCCTCTCTGTCTTGCCTGTGAGATTTCTCTCCTTTAATAAGCCTAGCTGCAGGATCAGTGTGTTCTTTTTGGCATTTCAAAATGTTAAAATAATGAAATTGTTAAATGTTACCAAGATGAAACTACCGAGGGTGAAATTCTCCAAAGGAACCACTGTATTTGCAGCATATTGCAATCTTCTTACAGAAAACTCCTTGAATCGGTTTACCTATTTTCTCAAGAAGGAAGCAGCTCCATTGATTGTGTTGATAAGTATTTAGTATGCAGCATCAGCTTATTAATTACTAAGGCAAAGCCTGAGAAACTCTTTCAAAACAATCATATGACATTCTTCTTTGCTTTGACTCAGAATTTAACATTAAACATCAAGAAATTTAGACAGACTCCTTGGTTGTCTTGTATATCAGTCTTTGGAATTAGAATTGGGACTCTGTGTCAAATACTTACTGTGTAAGAATAAACTATTATGAAATAGAACTTATCATAGCAGCGAAGAGTTCACCACACTTACCAAATGTTTCTTTCCAGAAAACAATTGACCTAATAAAGGCATTATTTTCTGTAACTAGCTATCAAGGAATGCTGCAAGAAAAAAAAGTAGCAAATCTATTTTAGAAATACCTAATAACACATAATTAGTAAAAATGAGATTTGGTCATAGGTTCTTGAATTTGGTTAGTAAGATGGAGCCTGTCTTTTAGGTGGCTGCCTGTTATTCTTGGGGATAATTATGTTAGCTCAGTTGTATAAAGAACACAGATGAGAGCTTGCATGCCCTGCTAAAAAGGATGTCGTATCTCCCCCAGTGCAAGTCTGTCTCTTCTATTTTGGTATTCATAATTTTCTAATTGAACTGACAAATAGAGTGACACAAGCCTTTGGGTTTAAATTATTTATAATTCTAAGTTTGACTCTGAACCTGGACCCAACATTGTTTGGAAACCTGTACTAGGGCCAGGTTTATATATTCCATATTCTGTATTTGTGGAAATAGCCAGATCTGCTGATTTTTCTCTTTTTGACTGAAGATGGGTAGAGAAGTTAAAGAATAAGAGGAAATAAAAACAATTTATGCATTTTGTATTGGCAAAATATTAACTTCATATTCCCCTCCACCCTGAATCTCCTCTTTCTTAATCTTGTTCTCAGAAAAAATTAACCTTGTATTGTAACTGCATGGGTGATGTTTAGCTGTATGGGTGTTGTTTTGGGTGGGCTGGGGGCTCAACACTTTGCCATTGAATTGCTTTGATAACCATTTAATTCACTTATCCATGTATTTTTAGGTTAGGTTGGATTCATCTTATAACATAGATCAACTCAGATTTCTCCAAAATATTTTTTGGACTAAACGAAGCTATGTTATTCAGAATCTCTATACTATCAAATTGTGTGCTACATAATTTTAGACAAATGAGTTTATATACATTCATAAACAAATTTTTTCCTAGATGTAGATCATAATCAAGATAAAAATTTAGACATACTGCCTTTTAATATATTGGAACATTTGATTTTAAATGAACCCGCAAATTTAGGAAGATGTCCAAGTTCAAAGCAACTATGCAGATGGACACTGAAGACTCAAGACAAAAGGAAGTGTTTACCTTGAGTCAAAACAAGGCTGTTCTTGTTTTCCAGGATAGGTGGGAATCCGTTCCAGTCCCATGTGCTCTAAGAATTTTGAGATTATGCCAGGATGAGCATCACCACATTTGATTATCATAAACTCTGATGGGCTTAAGACAGCTTTTAGCAATCTTGCTAATTATTAGTTGGGCAATTAGAACTACACTAGTTGGAAGAAAATATGAAGTTATTACCATATCACACAATGCCTATTAAGATGGTTATGTTTGTTTTATATATAATAGATCATGATGCTATTGTGAGGAGGTTTAGACTATAGGAAGTTTGTGAGAAGGGGAAAAGGAGGATTGTTTTTAGTAGATTCCCTCACCTCTCTTGCTACTATTCAAATGTTTTGATGTTAGATGAGCTTCTAACTCAAGCTTACTCACATGGATAGAAGGTATATTTAGGATATACCAGTAATAATTGGTCAAAGTCATTGCATAATCAGTGAGATTACCTCTAGTTCTTAACATAAAATATCTACTAAAAGCTTTCCTGGATCATATTTCCTCACTGACCAGGATGTCTCATGGTAAAATAAAGTACATCCCATTGTAATAGTTCTGTTAGGACAGTTAGTTGCATGTACAAACATATTCTTCATCTAGTTTTCATTGATACTTTTCATATGTTTGAAGTGTTTTCCATATAGGTTGCTAATGAATAATGTTAGGATACCCTCTAGTTTGAAAGTGTCACTTGGACAGGTTAATTAAATAGCTTAGTAATTGAGGTCCATACTTGAGTTTGCATTTTGAGGAAACAATTGTTTACTTCTCAAATCTGAGCAAATGGATCTACCAGAGTCATCACATTTGTTCTAGAATGCTATGAATTCTATTTTGGCCCCAGCTGTATAAGTTTTCACACTTGCACTTTAGGAAAGCTTTCAGAGTTTTGCTTTCTTTGTTTTGTTTTTGAATAAGTAAATTGAGACTGGTTAGATGAGAATCATTGTTTTTTTAGCTAACTTTAAAAAACTCATTATATATATATATGTATATGTATATATATATATATACACATAACCTAATATATATGTATGTAACATTACTTTATATTCTGTGTTTTTTAGTAAGTTTCTTAAAGTTGATTTTGCATCTTTTAATTCAAGAAGATATTTAAGTTCCCTTTTTGCTGACCCAAATGGCAAATAATTTTTTCCTAACAGTACAGCATTTTATTATTTAATGTCTCATTTTTCACTCTTACTTGTATTCTTAGAGTTTCAATTCACTGAATAGATTCAGTATCTTTGACTTGAGTCCTTACTACCATTATCAACTCTGAGTAGCTTTACATTTTTTTAACTTCAAGAGATAAAGTGAAGTATAGCTTCCTAAATTTGATAATGTAATATCTATTTTTTTTCTTACTCGCAAATTCCATGCTATTGCTTTTTAAAGAAAAGCAGAGGCATTTTTCAAAGATGTGCCAGGCAATCTGTTGTGGTGGTTTAGCATACTGACAAATGCTTTCACAAATTG